CTTCCCTCCAGAATATTTATATTTTAAACTTTGTAAGAGATATGTTCTAGTAATTAGACGTGCTTTTCTTTATATCCGAAATTGTTGAATTTAGACAGCTCCAAGATGGGTGAGTGGATCCAAAGGTTAGGCAGTTTTGACTTAAATGTTTCAAAGAAAATTTTTGTGACATCAGATTTTAATTTTTGAGTCCAGAACTCTCGAATAGGTGATTTGACTGTAGATTTCTATGAAAGCTTGGTGGGCAAGCATTGTTGGAGAGCAGTTATCTTTTGGTATTTGATATAATAATAGAAGCCACTCGATCTTGTTAAAGAAGCTTGTTGGATTTTGCATATTCATGAGGATTTGACGCTCAGAGAGATCCCTAATTGTACTGTTTTCGCATGAAAGTACAGTATGAAGAAATGTCAGTTGCCTTTTATGAGTTTCTGCCTCACTGAGAGGCAATGCTCCAATAAGTAGTGGTACTGCACAGTTTGCTGTTTTGATAGGTAGAGATTGAAAGCGGCTCTTCAAGTTCTTTAAATGAAATTTATTTAATTTATCCATCTGGGAATTGTTTATTGGTAAAATTTCCAAACCATAAATCATTCTTGGCAAGACATAGCACTGGTAGATTTTAAAGGAGGCTGCCGGGTTTAATCCATTAGTTCCATGCACTCCAGTTTTTATAAGAGAATGAAGTGTTCTCCTGGCTATGCCCATTCTAGCATCAATGTTAAGGTTGTTTTCTTTTAGTTCTGATCTTATTATTCCCAGATGGGTTGTTTCTTTGGAAGGGTATATGATGGTGTTGTCCAATGTCCAACTAAGTTTTGATCTATCCAGTTTTGCTGATTTATTTAGGATTACAGCTTTAGTTTTTTCAGGGTGCAGCGTTACACGGTCCTGTTTAGAATGCCAGATAGCGGTAGATACCATTGTTTGAAGTTCTGTCGGGTCGCTACTCAAGAAAGCAATATCGTCTGCACATGTTGGACATCCTACGTAGGTTGTTCTAATTTTTAAGCCGATATTATGTGATTTTAGGTCCTCAAGGAGATCGTTCACATACATTTTATATAAGAAGGGTGACAGTACTCCTCCTTGTCTGACTCCTTGTTTGATGCCAAAAGAGTGGCTGAGGATACCTTTTCATTTGACTTTTGACGTTAGACCAGAATAGAAATCCTTGATAACTGTCCATAATGAGCAATTTGGGATTTTTTCATAGAACTTATCCATCATTATAATGTGGTCCACTACATCAAACGCTTTTTTACTATCTACTGACATGAGAAATAATGACTGATCTAATGTTTGGTTTCAGATCGCGTCATTGGTGATAAAAGCTGCCATTAACATGCATAGTCCCTCTGTAAAGCCAAATTGGAGAGTAGAAAGCAAGAAGATGTTGGAGAGATCTGGGAGGATGGAGCTTTCAAAGAGCTTGGAGATAATAGGCGTCACTGTAATGCCTCGGTAATTGTCCATAATAGATGCATCTTTTCCAGTTTTCAATACTGGTGTAAGAATTCCAGATTTGAGATTGCCAGGGACTTTTCGTTCTTTCAGAATTTTTCCAAATAGGTTTGTGAGAAACGTTGTGACAGAGTACGAAGAGTTTTTAAGATGTTCAGATGAAATTCCAAATTCATCGGCAGCTTTTCTACTATTGAGTTTTTTTATCGCTGTAGCTACCACATCTGACGTGATATCTAGAGGTTTAGAGCAGGATTGTTCCTCATATTGATGTATGAGTGAGTGGCGCATATCACAGAGTTCCTTTTGTCCATAGGTACTTGGGGACAGGACATTTTTTTTAGCCCTTACCTTTTTTCTAAAATCCGTTATTTTTTACTGCAGCGGTCACTGATATATTATATAATGTAGTACACCCCAGCCAGCCCCTCCTTTGTCACACTATCAGGATGCCTGTTCCATGACCATTCTTCTGAAGATGAAATACATTTCCGGACTTCATGTGAAAAATAAAATCTGAAATAATTTTTCTCTTTGATTTTCTTGTATAGCAAATAAGTGAAAAAATGTTTTAATAGTTGACAATGAGCAAAAAGGAAAAGTCGTTCCATTTATTACATCGCGATGACCTTGAGGTCATTCCGATGTATTGCTATCGCCTAGATTTCCATTATGTAAATTAGTTTTGGGTTTGTAACCGATCTATAAACATGATAAATATGCGCACATAAACGAGTGCAAAATAACATTCCTTGTCGTTTGATATAAATACATCTCTTCAATGAATACTGATAAAAATATTTTTGTTTACAACATAAATCAATAATGTGAAAATGTTTTGTAGTTAGATATAAATATATATAAGTAAAAAATCATTGATAATATCAATGCACACGTACCGAAAAATTGTGTTAAAGCATGCGGAAGAATATCTCAAAGAACGTTTTGCGACAATACCGGCAAGGACCGGTAACTCTGTAATTGTTTTTGCGGGAAAATATGAATGCCTACTCGTATCCAATCTTAGAAAAATCGAATTTTTACAGAAAAGCGTCCACCATGCACTTGCATTGCACTATTGTTAGAATAGTAGAATAGAATGATATACAAATGGATGCAAATCATATATATATGTAACTGTTATTTTAATATAATATATAACAACAAATCAGTGTATACTGATTTGTATCACTACAATATAATAGTTATTACGGTGAAGTTGAATTTCCTGTCATTTATTCATCATCATCGCACGAACTTGTCTTAGAAAAAAATATATCTCTGTACATTAACCTCAGTTTCAGGTAAAGAGATATGTTGTTTTTTTCTGAGACAAGTGCTTTTGACCATCCTCAAGAACTTGTGGTCATCCGATGTTCAGTACTTCAGTACTTTGATTATAAATGTAATATGGATATTACCCGATGACGTGAAATTCTTATATCAAGCTCGTAGAAAAGAACATATGTCTCCATCAATGTTTGATTTAGTCAAGATCAGTGCATGTGGGTAAATTTCAGTTTCAGTATATTTAATCAAAACCTGGATTTTTACAAGAATATAGCCTCTAAATATTTGTTACCATTATTGAAAATATATATCAGGTTTGGTCGTAAAGAAGATGTGTCATAACTTTTTTTTATTGGTAATCATGACAATACAGAAATAAATCTGCAATAATAGGAGCACAGCATGTTCCTATTGGAATAACAACACTTTTCGGTATCCTTTAACTCCATAATCGAACATAAACAGAAACAAGGAAAACATTAATGGGTCTTATCATATCTTTGAATGTCCAATTTGTGTATTTTTTATAGGTTGGTTTTTACTGAAAAAGGATTTTTACCGACTGCGACAGAGTTATTATTAGATTTATGACTGTACAATTTTTTTCAGATAGAAAAACTTCTCTTTAATAAGATTGTGTGGTAGTGCATTATAAAGGGTATATAATTTATACTTCGCGGTCAGTGGTGTCAAACTGACCTTCACTTGTCAAGTTGAAGGGATCGTAGCTTACCAAAGACTTCCAAAGAGTTTTAATTCAACACTCCAGAAATAGTTAATTCCCCTTTTGAAATATATGAGTTTGATACAGTATTGCATAATGAGTACTTAAAAATGGTTGACATAGGTCAGAAGAACCTAAACATGTGAAAAAAATTCATCAAAGTCCAGACTTATAATTTGTACTCCAGACGCGCGTTTCGTCTTCAAAGACTCATCAGTGACGATTGAATCAAAAAAGTGAAAGTCAAAATAAATTACCAAGTTGAAGTTTAAATTTACTGGATGTCGATGTACTACGAAATTATCAAATTTCTTGAGTAATTTAGGGAGCCGATACCTTGTGATGTTCAATTGCAGCTTTCAGTTCAGTCGTTGTTGAAACATGATCAAACTCGGCAGGGTCATAATTCTACAATCTTTTCTGTAGTCGAAGTTGTAGGTATGAATGCATTTGAGTTTGTGACCTCATTTATATGATGGTTTAGTACATACTACTTACGGAAAACAACGCCACCAATGATGTTTGCTGCTTTGTTAGACTGAGGGAAAACTACAATGCATTTTCCGCGAATATTTTTTTGATTATACAGTTAGATTCGTCTCACAGTATAAAGTGATTTCCTTTATGCTTTGTACGATTATCAACAAGATCATAGTCGTGTAATTTGAATTTCTGAAGAAAAAATCAAGGAATTTTAATCAGTTTTGACGGTTTTCATGAAAATTTTTGACTTACAAGCCCGAAGAGGCACACAGGTATAGAGCATTGTAATTATACTAGATAATTTCTAGTCCTCTTGTCTATTCAAGTTTCAAGGAATGAAGTTTGAGATCTTCCGACTGGTCTGTCATTATGTTACGGTAATATATGATATCATGCATGTTCATTGCTATATATGTCTCTGATATATGTAACTCTTCTATACACAATTTTAATTTAACTAAATAAAGTTTTGTGTCTATTTGCATATTAAGTACGAATGTGTTAGGTGGGGGTAAGGGATTTGTGGTTGGAAGTTTTGTTCTCGCGAAATGTTTCAAAATAGAAATTCTTATATAATAAACTAGTGTTTATTTATTCTACAAACGTGGGGGTGGGGGTGCCCCCCCCCCCCCCCCTCAAACGTTGATTGTCTTCATCTTTACACTTTCCTAATTCAAAGATTACCGGAGAGACAGTTAATTTCGATGTTTTAAACCTGGGGATAGAATACTAACAGGCCGCTCAGTAAGACTCAATATAATTATGATCTATTAAGTCCAAGTTTAATCTTCTAAGTAATCTTTATTTAAGTCGGGTTGCATAACAAGGAACATGAGCTCTTAAGAGCTAACTTACAACTTTGATTATTTTAAAACTAATATGCAATAATTCTTATAAATTATCATTGATAGTCAATTAGCATAAGTAATAAAAATGTAAAATGTAAAACAGTAGCACAGCAGTCTCTGTTTAGTTATGCAGAGGGCGAAAAGTTAAATCATGTAAATAGGGCGACTAATCCAAATTTACAACTTGCCAACAGAGGGCAGTACAGTGTGAACCGGAAAGAACAATAGGAAATTAACCAAATTGAAAAAAAAAGAAATGCCAGGTATAAAGAAGTAAAAAGATTTCTTTAAATAGCTGCTGAATTCCTTAAAAAAATCTTTTTCATTTCAAAGCTTTATTCCTCGGTTATACTTTGAATCGTACTTAGTCTATAAATATTATAAAGGTTCATTTGGATTCGGACCCTCTATGCCACTATGGCTAAACTGGCTGTTTACACCACAACATTTATTTTGAGTGCAGACAAACCATCTGGGAAAATTTTAGCATAGCATGAGAAAACTATCAGCCTAATTTTTGACAAAACAATTTACGCAAAACAGATATAAACCAACAGCAACCACTGAACTACAGGCTCCTGTCAGCCGAGTCCTGTCGTCCTGACTTGGGACAGGCACATAAAGAGTATGGCAGGGTTATGTTCAGTTTTACCGTATCATCACACACTTAAAATAGACTTCTGTGTCGTTTGGTCAAGTGGATAGTTGTCTCATTGGCAATCATACCACATCTTGATTCTTCTTATTTTTATATTCACACTTTTAAGGATTATGTACCCTTTTGTTGCTTCAATGCTACACATATGGAAACTTTATAGAAAATCCACAGCCTTTCCCCTTGTACTCTAATATTTGACAATTCGGTGCTTGATAGATAGAGGATTATTGCATGTGCACAGTGCTAGCAATGATTTCCTTAAAACAAGTTTATAAATTAAGATATTGGTTATAAAAAATATAAATATGGACCAATTCAAGCACACCTTCTAGGGTGTGCTCGACTTTAGTGACTCTGCACACGGTTTTTTCGAATGTAAAGGTTGTTTAGGACTTTTTGTAAACAATGAATGCTAGCACATCATGGACAAAAAGTCAATGAAAGTGAGTAATCTATGTCATGTATGTTGAAATTTTTAGATAAGTGCAGTTTTCAGGATTGTCAAAGTTTAATCTAGGCAGGTAGAGTTTTTCAGAGTATGGCAATACTCCCAAGAAAATAAGAACTACTGGGCAATATGACTTTTTAAGGTTATTTGTACACTGATTATTTTATATTATGCATTGAGAGTAATTTTCATTGGATCATCTTACCATTCTTGACAGTTCACCATTCAGTTTCTACCTTTCTTCTGAGCACACTACAGCAGAATACAAATTTAAATTCTCTATCAACCTTGAACATTACAGTTCATTTCTGTATTCAAATGCAGTATACATGATGGTGTATATAATATATAACATATGGCCTATTACAAACAATATCAACAATATATATAAATAATGATTATATTTTCCTAGTTGACAAAGCAGTTTTGTGCTTTCAATAGAAAATAATTCTATTAACTTGGAAGTTGATGGCCTAGATAAGTAATATTTTATTTTTTAGCACAAAGAAAAAGAAAAGCAGAAGCTACAACACCAGTTGATGAAAACTGTCCAACAGTAGCTATGTTTAGACAATATCAGTTAGAACTGGACACCAAACATGATAAACATGAAAGATTGGTTAAACTAAGCAGAGATGTCACAATAGAAAGTAAACGAACCATTTTCTTGCTACAAAGACTTACTGGGTAAAGCATTGCTTTTAAAGGCTATTGACAATTTGTGTGACAAGTTTATAAAAAATGTACTATTAAATTCAACACTGAACATATGGATGACTACTCTCCATCAGTTTCCTGTACTTTCAATCATGTTTGACCCCATATAATTTTGTTTGGCAAACTAGCTATACAAATAAAGTTTTACAAACTGCTGACAAAATGTAGCAGCTGACGTTTTCCTGACTTCATCTTTTTTGGAGCCAGAGCAGCCCCTGATTGTGTGACAAGTAAAAAAAAAGATACTATCGGGGTAAAGCATTTCATGTAGACTTGCACATGCTGTGTAACACGTTTTTGTCTTTCATGCATCAAAGTAACAGCATCAAGTTACCTTTTTAAAACAAAGCAATTTCTAATCTTTCTTTAGAATATAAGTTTCTGTCAAAGGAATTAAAAAGATTTATAAATTACAAACTTAAAGTCTATATGTCTCTTCAATACTGTGTAAGTAGTTGATTTCAAATGACATTAAGTTCACATTTAAAGCAAGAAGGAGACCTTCAAAATTAATGGTTATAAACAGGATGTGTTTGGTCAACTTACTCTAAAATTTTCTGCAAAAATCGGCATACTATTAACCCCCTATTTGTTGTTTATAAGAGGAACTAAGGTTAGAGTCTATGTTACTAAACCTAACTTTTGGTAAACCTCTGTATGTTAAAAATTATTTCAGAAAAAAATATGAATTTCTAACAGTAACTGCCTAACTGGTCCTCATACAGTATTCCTTTACAAAATATTGGAATGTTCCTAATTTTGGAACCTTCTGTTCTTTAACCCTTGTATATTTTGTTTCTAGCACATCAAACACTAAAAACATTGTATTAATTTTTCTTAAGACTTTCATTGTAATTTGTACTGTATTCAAGATGCCCATCCTTTCATTTTGCCAAGTATACTAATACTTTTTTGTGTGTTTTTTGAGGTGCATGTACTGATATTGTGTCATGGATGGATACCCCATATCCTTTGTTTTTCAATGATAGTCAGTTGCATATACAAAATGCATTGAAATTACATACATGAATGCCATATCTCTGTGTCAACAGTTTATTATGCCCCCGCCGTAGCGGAGGGGGCATTAAGTTTTACCCTTGTCTGTCTGTACGTACGTATTTTCTTCTAAATATCAAGTTTATATAATATATTTTTAAAATTGGAGTTATCTTCCTTTGACCATGATTATAGTTGAATCAACTACAATCAATGCTTTATACAATGCAATGTTTAATTTAGACTTCCACTGATAAAACACAGATCAAGTTGAATTTGGGTAGTGTCACTTTAACCATTATTGAGTTATGCCCCTTTATAAATAGAAAGATTGCAAAATTTTTTAGTTTCCATTTTGTAACTGAAGTTTTCCCCAGCCAAACATTATGAAACCTATACACAATATTCATTACCACAAAACTCAGTAAGGATCAAGTACAATTTTTTTGTTTCAGTTCTCTAACTTGAGTTTGCCTCAACCAAATGTTATGAAACTTATACACAATGCTTATTACTACATAATACAGATTAAGTACGAAATTAGGTGGCAACATTTTTACCATTCTAGAGTTATGTCCCTTTATAAACATAAAAATTGCTGAATTTTTTTTAGTTTGTCTCAACCAAATGTTGTAAAACTTATACACAATGCTTATAACCACAAAACTCAGATCAAGTTCAAATTTGGGTAGCGTCACTTTTACCGTTCTTCAGTTATGTCCCTTTATAACTATATGATATGCAAGCGGGGGCATCATCTGTGTCCACATGTGGACACTATCCACATTTATTTGATAAAAAAGACTATTTGGGTTGGGCTTTTATTGTGAAGGCCTCAAGATTTGATATATCTAATGAAAAAAGCTTTGAAACACACAAGGTATATGTTTGTGACTCAGAAAATATTTCCTGCACTAAAATGCAGGGTTAATTTCCTACAACTGTCAAATTCATGGGTATTTTTGTCGACTCTTTATAACATGAAACCGGATGTGACATACTATGTTTTGGTGGTATAACTCCTAAAAATAATGTGTAAACACAGTAAAATGTATCCCTGTGCTTTAGGCATGATTAGGTGTATGATCCTATATTTTTACGCCCCCGCCGTAGTGGTGGGGGCATTAAGTTTTACCCTTGTCCGTCTGTACGTACGTACATACGTACGTCCCAAAATTGGTTTCCGTTCTCTAACTTAAGTTTGCCTCAACCAAATGTTATGAAACTTATACACAATGCTTATTTCCACAAAACACAGATCAAGGTTGAATTTTGGTGGCGTCACTTTAACCATTCTACCGTTCTCTAACTTGAGTTTGCCTCAACCAAATGTTATGAAACTTATACACAATGCTTATTACCACAAAACACAGATCAAGTTTGAATTTTGGTGGCGTCACTTTAACCGATCTAGAGTTATGCCCCTTTATAAAAGGAAATATTGCAAAATATTTAGTTTCCGTTATCTAACTTAAGTTTGCCTCAACCAAATGTTATGAAACTTATACACAATGCTTATTACCACAAAACACAGATCAAGTTTGAATTTTGGTGGCGTCACTTTTACCGTTCTAGAGTTATGCCCCTTTATAAATGGAAAAATTGCAAAATTTTTAGTTTCCGTTATCTAACTTAAGTTTGCCTCAACCAAATGTTATGAAACTTATACACAATGCTTATTACCACAAAACACAGATCAAGTTTGAATTTTGGTGGAGTAACTTTAACCGTTCTAGAGTTATGCTCGTTTATAAATGGAAAAATTGCAAAATTTTTATTTTCTTCTAAATATCAAGTAATTTTTTAAATTGGAGTTATCTTCCTTTGTCCATGATTATAGTTGAATCAACTACAATCAATGCTTTATACAATGCAATGTTCAATTTTGACTTCCACTGATAAAACACAGATTAAGTTGAATTTGGGTAGTGTCACTTTAACCATTACATACCTGTCAACCTATGACAATGAAAATGCAGGTGATGACCTGCATAAAAGAATGAAATCTCAGGTCATAACGCGTACGAACTTTTTCAAGCTGAATTTCAGTATTTAGGGGACATTTTTCTTATAATTTATATCAAAGTTTCCAAAACATGTCCACATGGTTAAGTAATTTTAAATTGTACATTTTATTATTTCATTGCATTTGGAGGCCATTGATAGATTTGTGTTACATTGCCTTTATTCCTGTTCATATTCAGTCCATGACATACAATGTGCCTATTTGTGTTTTCTTTGCATACATTTGTGCAGCTTTTAAACAATAGAACATATCAGAGGTTGATATTAGAGTATAATAAAATAAAGTTAAACAATTAAAGGAGGTATAGATGAAAAAAGTAATTTTCAAAATTTTTAATTTTGTTCTAAGGTAGAACAATAAGTAAAAGTATTATTCTAATATGTTTTTGCATTCAATTCATTTTAGATTTAATCTTTTTACAAAAAAAACATAAGTTTAAGGAGTATATTGTGAATTGACAAGGGGAAGTAACTCAAATTGTTTTTAAAACAACTTTGAAATACACAAATTATTTACGACCTAAAGCTAAGATAATTGGTGTTAATTAACAGTGTGTTTGACATCAAAGCTGTCAAGTGAAGCCATACACTGAAATGGGTCACTTGAGCTGAGTTTACACAGCGAGTTGAACTTCTTGTCCAGGAAGAATTACGAATTTGCCGGTATTTTAAAGAAATCAGTTTATATCTAATCAGTCTGAAAGCTTGGGAACGGGTTATTTTCCGAATTCCCAGGTTATTTGGTCACCCGGCAGGTGTTCCGGGTGACCCTTCAGAATTGTGAAAATCTTGGGTCACACCCGCAGGATCCGGGTCAGTTGACAGGTATGCCATTATTGAGTTATGCCCCTTTATAAATCGAAAGATTGCAAAATTTCTAGTTTCCATTCTGTAACTTAAGTTTGCCCCAACCAAACGTTATGAAACCTATACACAATATTTATTACCACAAAACTAAGATCAAGTACAAATTTTTTGTGTCTGTTTTCTAACTTTAGTTTGCCTCAACCAAATGTTATGAAACTTTTATACACAATGCTTATTACTACATAATACAGATTAAGTACGAAATTTGGTGGCGACACTTTTACCATTCTTGAGTTATGTCCATTAATAAACATAAAAATTGATAAATTTTTAGTTTCCGTTCTCTAACTTTAGTTTGTCTCAACCAAATATTATAAAACTTATACACAACCGTTCTAGAGTTATGCATGTTTACAAATAGAAAAATTGCTGAATTTTTAGTCTCTGTTCTCTACTTAAGTTAGCCTCAACCAAATGTTATCAGACTTACAGACAATGCTTATTACCACAAAACTCAGATCAAGTTCAAATTTGGGTAGCGTCACTTACTGTTCTTCAGTTATGTCCCTTTATAACTATATGATATGCAAGCGGGGGCATCATCTGTGTCCACATGTGGACACTATCCACATTTTAGTATTTCTGTTTAAATTTAAACTTCCAATCTAATTTTTATTTTTATGCCTTTTTATTAACACTTATCTGCTTTAAATCTTCACATACTCATCAGTCACTGGAATTTCTGTCGCTCGCACAATGCGTTGCAGGGGACATAGAAATACCGGGCGTCTGTCCGACTGTCCGTCCAGTCTTGTTAGCGCTCTCATGTGTACAATTCTCTCCAGATTTTTATGAAACTTATATCATAGGTTTATATCAGCAATGTCTTGGACAAGTTTGAAAATCAGTGCCAATCCATTATTTTTAAAAAAGTAATGCCCCTTGGAAACATTAATTATATGGAAAATTGCATCGTTAGCACTCTCATTTGTACAATTCTTACCAGATTTTTATGAAACTTATATCATAGGTTTATATTAGCAATGTCTTGGACGAGTTCGAAAATCAGTGCCAATCAATTGTTTTTAAAAGAACCCCTTGGAAACATTAATTATATGGAAAATTGCATTGTTAGCGCTCTCATGTGTTCAATTCTTGCCAGATTTTAAAGAAACTTATATCATAGGTTTATATCAGTAATATCTTGGACAAGTTGGAAAATCAGTGCCGATAAATTATTTTTGAAAGAGTTATGTCCCTTGGAAATATTAATTATATGGAAAATTGCCTTATGAGCGTCTAATGTATACAATTCCTGCCAGATTTTTATGAACTTTATAATTAAATTTTAAGAGGTTTATATCAGCATGTCTTTGATGAGTTCAAAAATCAGTGCCAATTAATTATTTTTGAAAGAGTTATGCCCCTTGGAAATATTGATTATATTGAAAATTGCATAGTTAGCGCTCTCATGTGTTCAATTCTTGCCAGAATTTTATGAACTTATATCATAGGTTTATATCAGCAATGTCTTTGACACTTTCGAAAGTTTGTTCTGATCAAATATTTTTAACGAGTTATGCCCATTGGAAATATTAATTATAATGCAAATCACATTGCATTTGCTCTGAAGCCTTCATTCCTGTGCTAAGATATTAATAAAAAGTTTTAAAGAACCAAAAAAAGGTGTTTTAATAGTTATTGCTCTTGTACCTTGGATAGATAAAATATGTGCAACGCAGGGGACATTGGAACTTTTATATATCAAGATATAGTAGTAATGTAATATCAATTTTAAATGAATGTTGTATTAACAGTGTATTATCTAGTTATCATGATGGACTCAATAAATCTTATAGCTAGTTTATCTTTTATAACAAGGTCCTCACCAGACATCAAAATACTAGAAGAAGCTTGGGAGAAATTAAAGGCAATAGAGAACATAAAACTTTTGTCAATAGCAAAGGAGCTAGACCAAGAAGATCCATACAAGTTTCTGAGAGCTTATTCACCAGGTATTTCTTAGGAAAATATATTTCGGTCCATATTTGCATTAGTTTTAGTGGTAGTAGGTGGGTATAAACAATAATGATGCAGCAGGGCTCATATACATCTTCAGAAATTGTAGTCAAAAGTAGATAACAAATAGCAATGCCATGAGTAGTGCAGAAGAACATGTACTTATGAATCTGATGTTCAGTAGTTGTCGTTTGTTGATGTGGTTCATAAGTGTTTCTCGTTTCTCGTTTTTTATATAGATTAGACCGTTGGTTTTCCCGTTTGAATGAATGGTTTTACACTAGTAATTTTTGGAGCCCTTTATAGCTTACTGTTCAGTGTGAGCCAAGGCTCCGTGTTGAAGACTGTACTGTGACCTTTAATGGTTAACTTTTAAAAATTTTGACTTGGATGGAAATTTGTCTCATTGGCACTCATACCACATCTTCTTATATCTACTTATGCTACATGTAGTCTTAAGTAACTTTTTGCACTAAAATTTTTAAAATTAAAACAAATAGATGAATCTTTTTATAATGCTTTAGGTGTAAATTAGTGAATCAATATAACAGTGACTTGATTGTAAGCATTTATCTCCATCGATAGCAGTTTATTCAAAATTCTGACAAAATTGCAGTTTGTTTTATCAAATCATATTGTTTAAATGGTCAGAAATTTTAACAAACTGCTGTAGAAGAACACAGTCAAGTGATCAAATAAAGCATCATTTATTTATCCTGGGATATCCATAAACTGCAATTATCAAAACAAACTGTATCAACTTTTAACCATTTGCTTTCAATGACATTATTATTAAAATATGGAAACATCATTTTCTTTTAATTCCATATAAATCAAATTTCTGCTTGGGAAGTCAGTCAGTCAGATTTATGGTAACCATTTGAGTATAATGCAAAACACAAAGCAAAAAAAGTACTTTTGCATTGTATATTTAATCAATTACTTATTGCTTTTGATAGATATTTTGATATCCAATTGCCTTAAAGTCACATTTTAAAATTTCACAGATTAATTAAACTGCACTAATATCATGTGTATAAGAATAAGGAGATGTGGTATGATTGCCAGTGAGATGATTATCCATAGACCAAAGGACAAAGATGTGAACAATTAAAGGTCACCATTTAAGGCCTTCAACATTAAGCAAACTCATAACATTTAATAAGCTTTAAAAAACACTGGTATGATAAAAAGTGAAACAATTCAAAAGAGAAAATCCAAAGGCTGAATTTATACTACAACAATGGATGAATAACATATGACAGACAGCAACTAACAACAACAACTGGTTCACAAGTTCCAGGCTTGGGACAGGCACACAAAGAATGAGCTCTCTCCCCTCTCACAAGGTTCTAATCTTGGACAGAAGTGAAGAAACAGTAGTAATAATTTGTTGGAAAGGGCTTGACTCATCATATCAGTACATAGCACTAAAACAAATGATAAAAGACACACAGTACCGATCTAAGATTATTCCCAGTTATTGAAAGCTAGTTAAAGCCCAATTTCAACTAATAAACAAATCATATTTTCCCAAGCTTATATATGTCAATCAGTGGACCTCTGAAAGCTTTAGTAAAAAGATTATTTAGTGCAAAGACTTCATAAGCTGTCGGAGAAAAGCATGACCAAAATATTTGTATCAACATAATGTAGGACTAGAAGTGTTAATAAGTTTAAGGATATTCCTTTACATTCTATTTTGCAAAAACATATTCTTAATATCTGTGTAAAATTTCTAGAGTAAAAAAGTGTCATTTTTAGGTGTACGCTTAAAATTCAACATGTGTAAAAAGTGAATAGGTTGTTATAGATATATATGAATAGATACGGTAGTAATTGTTTAGAAAATTGTGTGATACATACATATAGATGAAACTCATGATATATAATTCAAAATATATGTGATCAATATTAATGTTTCTTTGTTGTAGGATTACAAGAATACATTGAAGCAGTTTCATTCTATCATTATCTAAAGAACAAAAAACTAGTTACTTTAGAAGAAGTACAAAAAGACCTCACTTTCATTACTACTTGTTCATCTGTGGATGGAATAGATAATGGACTTTCACAACTCACTACACAAAAAATTGAAAAGACTGAAACTCTGGACACACAGTGTAAAGTTATTTGTAGTGAATCTGAAATGGATACAGAATCAAGAGAAGTACAAGTACATGTACCACCAACAGAGTATATATTAGGGCTAGCTGATTTGACAGGAGAGTTAATGAGACTTGCTGTGGGAAGTGTAGGGAAGGGGGATTTAGATACACCTTTTCAAGTTCGTGACTTTTTACAATTGATGCAGTCTGGCTTTGTGTCATTTGGAAACTGTGGACGTGAAATTGGAAGGAAACTGCACACATTAAGACAGAGTCTTCAGAAAGTAGAAACAGCATGCTATACATTACAAGTACGAGGATCAGAAATACCAAAACATATGTTAGTAGATGTACTTAGTTCAGGAACATCAGATTATGGCTCAAATTTTGACAATGATATGGCAGCTAATGATGATTAAACACATTTTTAGCTCACCTGGCCAAAGGGGCAAGTGAGCTTTTCTCATCACTTGGTGTCCGTCGTCCATCGTCGTCCGTCGTCGTCATTGTTAACTTTTTACATTTTGAACTTCTTCTAAAGAACCACTGAATGGAATGAAACCAAACATGGCATGAATGTTCCTTTTGAAGTGCTGACCAAGTGTTGTTACTTTGTAGCTGATCAATCATTCAAGATGGCCGCCAGCGGGGGACTTCATTTAACATAGGACCCGATGGATAATACATACAAATGTCTTCTTTTAGAGAACCACTGAATGGAATGAAACCAAACATGGCATGAATGTTCCTTATGAGGTGCTGACTAAGTGTTGTTACTTTAAAGCCGATCCATCATCCAAGACGGCTGCCAGCAGGGGATTTCGTTTAATATAGGACCCTATGGACAATACATACAAATGTCTTCTTTTAGAGAACAACTGAATGGAATGAAACCAAACATGGCATGAATGTACCTTATGAGGTGCTGACCAAGTGTTGTTACTTTGAAGCCGATCTATCATCCAAGATGGCCGCCAGAGGGGGACTTAGTTTAACATAGGACCCTACAGGAAATACATACAAATGTCTTCTTTTAGAGAACCACTAAATGGAATGAAATAAAACATGGCATGGATGTTTTTTATGAGGTGCTGACCAAGTGTTGTAACTTTGTAGGCGATCAATCATCCAAGATGGCCGGCAGAGAGGTACTTAGTTTAACGTAGGACCCTAAGGGAAATACATACAAATGTCTTCTTTTAGAGAACCACTGAATGGAATAAAACCAAACATGGCATGAATGTTCCTTATGAGGTGCTGACCAAGTGTTGTTACTTTGAAGCCGATCCATTATCCAAGATGGCCACCAGAGAGGGACTTAGTTTAACATAGGACCCTATGGGAAATACATACAAATGTTTTCTCTTAGAGAACCGCAGAATGGAATGAAATAAAACATAGCATGAATGTTCCTTATGAGGTGCTGACCAAGTGTTGTAACTTTGTAGGCGATCAATCATCCAAGATGGCCGCCAGCGGGGACTTAGTTTAACATAGGACCCTATGGCAAATACATACAAATGTTTTCTTTTAGAGAACCACTGAATAAAATGAAAGCAAACATGGCATGAATGTTCCTAATGAGGTGCTGGCCAAGTGTTGTTACTTTGTAGCAAATCCATCAACCAAGATAGCTGCCAACAGGGGACTTAGTTTAACAAAGGACCCTATGGGAAATATATACAAATGTCTTCTTCTAGAAAACCGCTTTATGGATTGAAATCAAACATGGTATGAATGTTTCTTTTGAGGTGCTGACCAAGTGTTGTTATTTTGTAGCTGATATGTCATTGTCCTTATAAAGTCATTTTTACAATTCCAATGAATTTATTGGTAATTTCTGTAAACTTTACAAAAGTCTTCTGCTTTTGATTAAATTACAGGGCCAATATTAAACCAAATTTAGCTTCAATCATTATTAGGGTATCTGTTATGATTTTAATCTATTTTTACATGATTTCCAAAACCAATGTAGAATCAGGTGAGCAACACAGGCTCTTGGGAGCCTCTAGTTTTTTTACATGTGACTCAGTAAAACATTAAAATAAATCATTAAAATACAGCTAAAGTTGTTTCATTCAAAGAAAAGGGTAGAGTTGAATTATGCGAATAGGTGTCTACTTTCATAACAAGGTTCATTTTTGTAAATATATTTCAATTTTAGAACCTACCTTTTCATTTTTGCTCAAATTGTTTAGGGTTTATTGATTGTCATCTTTCTTTGTATATATATTTATTTGTAGCTCTTTGTTGTTATATTCTGGATTCAATTTTTCTTGAAATTCAGACCAAATGTCGCGGGGTATTTTTCCCATATGTCTATATAAGTAATTTGTAAGTGCCCACTAATATTTTTTCTGTAAACATATATTCAATGATAGTTACAAATAGTATAAATATACCATTGAACAATAGTACTCAAAGAATTAAAACAGTTATAAACGAAAATATTAGAACTGAACCTTAAAACTAAGAAATAGAAAAACCAACCTGTAAATATATAGCTAATGATACAACCATACAACTAGCCATATGCAGGATCCAACATCTGAATACAGAATACAGGTATGAAAAGATATTACTGGTAATAATGGATTTTTTTGCAATAACTGGAAAGCATGCAAGTAAAAAGGTGTGCTTGATTTGCATTTAAAAAAAACATTATTAACAAAAATAAACAAAGAAATATGTCATGTGGTGACACAAACTTTTCAGAAATATACTTTTGGAGAATAAGATAGTTTTTATTTTTGAGACAAATTACTGTTTTGATTGTCCAAAAACTCTGAAAATTCTGTTAGAAAACACTGCAACTACATGCTCAGTATAGAATTATTCTACAATTTGAATTATTGTTAAGTATTCCTTATTGTTATTATACATGCTCCGAAAGGAGAAGGTATACTGGTTCAAGTCTGTCATCCGTCCATCCCTTTGTCCAATGAAATTTTAGTTGAACTTATCTCAGGAACTACAATCAGGGCTCTTAATTTAGAATCAAGCCTCCTGTGAGCATGGTATACAGTGTGATGCGTTTTTGCATCCATTGCTCATCAACATCCTTTTTACTGAATACTTGTAAGTGGCGAATCCAGGAAGTGTAACAAAATTAAAAATCTCATGTTTTACACAATATATATAAAGTTTTAGTAAAAAAATCATCCAAAAAAATTTCGCTTCAATCCCATCAATAGTATACATGTATATTCAATAAACAGTAATTACGCCATCCCTTTCAAATGTCCTGGATCCGCCCCTGCTTATGCTTTGGGCATCATGAAATCTCCAATTAAAAATGCATAGATTTTTATACGACCGCAAAAAATTTTTGCGGTCGTATATTGGTATGACGTTGGCGTCGTCGTCATCCGGCGTCGTCGTCCGAAGACACATTGGTTTTCGCACTCTTAACTTTAGTTTAAGTGAATGGATCTCTTTGAAATTTTACCATAAGGTTCAATACCACAAAAGGAAGGTGGGGATTGATTTTGGGGGTTATGGTACCAACAGTTAAGGAATTAGGGGCCAAAAATAAGCATTTTCTAGTTTCCAGACAATAACTGGAACGGTGTATGGATCTCTCTGAAATTATACTACAAGTTTCCATACCACAAAGGGATGGTTAGGATTTGATTTGGGGGGTTATGGCTCAAACTGTTTAGGAATTAGGGGCAAAAAAGGGGGAAAAACAAGGTTGTCCTGGTTAATGGACAAATACTTTAGTACAAAACATAATTTAAAGCAGTGTAAGGGAGATAAATCAAATACATCATTGAAATTATCTCCCTTACACTGCTTTTAAATTATGTATAAAGTAATGGTTAATGAACAATTAAGATAATTTAAAACAGTGTAAGGGAGGTAATCCAAATACAACGTTATGGTTACTACCCTTACACTGCTTTTAAATTATGTTTAAAGAAATGCATATTTATAAAGGAAGACCAGTAAAAATATTTGCAAATGTTGCATCTTTTTTTTTTACAAAAGAATCCATATGAAAGATTTGACACTATATTTTAAATTCTATTATAAAATAGATTAAGTTAGCACTATGGTAAATTTAAATGGGTAATTATTGGAAATTTGAATTGAGATTATTACCATATCTTGAGGGAAAGAATTTTTTGGGGGAAAAAAAGGTGGGGGGGTAAAAAGAAATTGTGGGGGGTCATTTTTTTCTCATTTCAGATTTCAGAAATTAAAAAGAATTATTCTTCAAATATTATTTTTTTTTCAAATTTCAAATATTGAAAAATTTCAAGAAGTAATCTTTAATTGCACAGTATGGCGCATTAGATTTGTAAAATCTTTGACCACATTTATTTATTTGTTATGCCGAATCTAACCGTGTATTTAGATTTTTAATTTTGGGTCCAGTTTTCAAATTGGTCTACATTAAGGTCCAAAGGGTCCGAAATTAAACCTTGTTTGATTTTAACAAAAAATTGAATATATGGGGTTCTTTGATATGCTGAATCTAAACATGTATTTAGATTTTTGATTTTTGGCCCAGTTTTCAAGTTGGTCCAAATTGGGGTCCAAAATTAAACTTTGTTTGATTTCAACAAAAATTGAATATATGGGGTTTTTTGATATGCTGAATCTAACCATGTATTTAGATTTTTTATTTGTGGACCCCGCTATCAAATTGGTTCATATTGAGGTCAAAAGGGTCCAAAATTAAACTTTGTTTGATTTCATCAAAAATTGAATTATTGGGGTTCTTTGATATGCCAAAGCTAACTGTGTTTTTAGATTTTTAATTTTGGGTCCCGTTTTTTAAATTGGTCTACATTAAGGTCCAAAGGGTCAAAAATTAAACTTAGTTTGATTTTAACAAAAATTGAATTCTTGGGGTTCTTGGATATGCTGAATCTAAACATGTGTTTAGATTTTTATACGCCCGTTTACGGGACGTATTATGGTATACCGTTGTCCGTCTGTCCGTCCGTCCGTCTGTCCGTCTGTCCGTCCGTCTGTCCGTCGTCAACATGTCGGACATTAACTCAAAAATGCTTTAACCAATTTGCATAAAACTTTGGTGAATTGTTTATATCTTTTGACGTGAGCTCCCTTTCGTTTTTTATAAAATTTAGATTTTACGTTTCTGAGTTTTGGGGTTTTATCATTTAAAAAAGGGGGATTTTCCAGTTTTCGGACAATAAGTCAAGAATGCTTTCACCAACTTGCAAGAAATTGTGGTGAATTGTCTATATCTATTGACATGAGCTCCCTTTTGATTTTCATAAATTTTAGATTTTACGTATCCGAGTTACAGTGTTTTATTCATAAAAAAGGGGGGTGATTTTCCAGTTTTTGGACAAAAACTCAAAAATGCTTCAGCAATTCTTATGAAACTTTGGTGAATTGTTTGTATGTATTGATGTAAGCTCCCTTTATAATTTTATAAATTTTACATTTTACATTTCTGAGTTATGGGGTTTTATTCATTAAAAAAAGGGGTGATTTTCCAGTTTTCAGACAATAACTCAAAAATGCTGTCACCAATTCTCATGAAACTTTGGTTAATTGTTTATATCTATTGATGTAAGCTCCCTTTTTATTTTCATAAATTTCTAATATGACATTGAGAATTAATTGAACTTTATTTGTTTATAGTCTGACAACAGATTTACCAAGTATTGCACAACAGCAAGAAATCTTTAATTGAATATAAATTCAATTCATATAACCAATTTCAAGTCCTTTGACTACATTTATTCAGAAACCTATAATATGTCAAATATTTAATTACAATCCAAATTCAGACCTGAATCAAGCTTGAATATTGTGTCCATTTTTGCCCCAACTGTTCAGGGTTGGACCTCTGCGGGCGTATCTAGCTACGCTCAGCAAGCAGTTTATTGATTATGGGCCCAGTTTTCAAGTTGATCAAGTTGGGGTCCAAAATTAAACTTTGTTTGATTTCAACAAAAATTGAATATATGGGGTTCTTTGATATGCTGAATCTAAACATGTATTTAGATTTTAGATTTTTGGCCCAGTTTTCAAGTTGGTCCAAATTGGGGTCCAAAATTAAACTTTGTTTGATTTCAACAAAAATTGAATATATGGGGTTCTTTGATATGCTGAATCTAACCATGTATTTAGATTTTTTATTTGTGGGCCTGCTATCAAATTGGTTCATATTGAGGTCAAAAGGGTCCAAAATTAAACTTTGTTTGATTTCATCAAAAATTGAATTATTGGGGTTCTTTGATATGCCAAATCTAACCGTGTTTTTAGATTTTTAATTTTGGGTCCCGTTTTTTAAATTGGTCTACATTAAGGTCCAAAGGGTCAAAAATTAAACTTAGTTTGATTTTAACAAAAATTGAATTCTTGGGGTTCTTTGATATGCTGAATCTAAATATGTGTTTAGATTATTGATTATGGGCCCAGTTTTCAAGTTGGTCCAAGTTGGGGTCCAAAACTAAACTTTTTTTGATTTCAACAAAAATTGAATATATGGGTATCTTCGATATGCTGAATCTAACCATGTATTTAGTTTTTTTATTTGTGGGCCCCACTATCAAATTGGTTCATATTGAGGTCAAAAGGGTCCAAAATTAAACTTTGTTTGATTTCATCAAAAATTGAATTATTGGGGTTCTTTGATATTCCAAATCTAACCGTGTATTTAGATTTTTAATTTTGGGTCCCGTTTTTTAAATTGGTCTACATTAAGGTCCAAAGGGTCCAAAATTAAACTTAGTTTGATTTTAACAAAAATTGAATTCTTGGGGTTCTTTGATATGCTGAATCTAAACATGTGTTTAGATTTTTGATTATGGGCCCAGTTTTCAAGTTTGTCCAAGTTGGGGTCCAAAATTAAACTTTGTTTGATTTCAACAAAAATTGAATATATGGGGTCCTTTGATATGCTGAATCTAACCATGTAATTTGATTTTGGACATTGTACCATAATAGGTAAATTAAAAAAATTCAAGTTCTTAGACCACATTCTTTCTGTGTCAGAAACCTATGCTGTGTCAAATATTTAATCACAATCCAAATTCAGAGCTGTATCAAGCTTGAATGTTGTGTCCATACTTGCCGCAACTGTTCAGGGTTCGACCTCTGCGGTCGTATCAAGCTGCGCCCAGCGAAGCATTTTATTTCTTAAAAATTGATATGTTATTGATATAAAATAATCATAGGGTCACTGACTTTGATTTTGGTGCATCTGTTATCTAGTTGGTGTTGAAAAAAACCCTAAAATCAACCTTTTATAACTTAGAAATGGGATGACATAATGCTTATTTCAACATTTTGTGGTATTTTTATGCCCCCGCCTTAGCGAGGGGGCATTAAGTTTTACCCTTGTCTGTCTGTACATACGTACGTCCGAAAATTGGTTTCCTTTCTCTAACTTTAGTTTGCCTCAATCAAATGTTATGAAACTTATACACAATGCTTATTACCACAAAACACAGATCAAGTTTGAATTTTGGTGGCGTCACTTTTACCATTCTAGAGTTATGCCCCTTTACAAACGGAAAAATTGCTGATTTTTTTCGTTTCTGTTCTCTAACTTTAGTTTACCTCAACCAAATGTTATGAAACTTATGCACAATGCTTATTACCTCAAAACTCAGATCAAGTTCAAATTTGGGTAGCGTCACTTTTACTATTCTTGAGTTGTGTCCCTTTATAATGTTATATGCAAGTGTGGGCATCATCTATGTCCCATGGACACATACCCATTTATTTCCTCTACAATACCACTGTGACTCTATAATTATTATTTTGCATCTTTAAAATGGTCAATTATGTATAAACAACCTATTAATTTTTTCAATTTTCATTTTCAGTTCTACAAGCATAAGTTGTATGAAATTTTTACAAAAAAAACTGTGACATACATGTAGCCCATTTACTGTACCTCGACCTTAAAGTGTTGGTAAAAGTTTTAAATTTATTTAAATTAAAAGAAAAATAAACATAAATTATATGACAAATAAAGTAAACAAGACTTTGAACCACTTCTAGAGGACTAGATCATGATTGATCAAATCAAAATGTAACTGTTATTTATATTCTTTTGAGTTGACCAGGTGGGGATGGATAGGTGAATCACCCTTCTGTCTTCTTGTATAAAGCATAACTCCTTCTTAATGGTCATCCTGAATATGCATTTAATTTGCCACTGGACGTTCAACATCCATCCATCCATCCTTCTAAATGGTGAAGAATATCAATAAATCTTTATACAATGGAAGAAGACCATTAAGAGATGTGTATGGAGCAAAATAACTGTTGCCCAAAATTTTAAAGGGGTTTTATACAATAAAGCTGAGTTCAAAGTTTGTTCTCAGGTCGGTTTCATCTCTTAGAAGTTCAATTGTCTTCATCATGACTTTGACAATGGATCCATATCATATTTGTGTTTGATTTTAGTTTGATAATTTTAATTTTGGTTTTTATGTTTTATACGCCCGTTTACCGGAAGTATTATGGTATACCATTGACCGTCTGTCCGTCCGTCAGTCGTCAACATGTCGGACATTAACTCAAAAAAGCTTTAACCAGTATGTATGAAACTTTAGTGAATTGTTAATATCTATTGACGTGAGCTCCCTTTCGTTTTTTTTAAATTTCAGATTTACCGTTTCCGAGTTTTGGGGTTTTATTCATTAAAAAAGGGGGATTTTCCAGTTTTCCAACAATAACTCAAGAATGCTTTCACCAACTTGCAAGAAATTTTAGTGAATTGTTTATATCTATTGACATGAGCTCCCTTTTGGATTTTTATAAATTTTAGATTTTATGTTTCCGAGTAACAGGGTTTTATTTATAAAAAAAGGGGGATTTTCCAGTTTTCAGACAATATCTAAAAAATGCTTTCAGCAGTTCTCATGAAACTTTGGTGAATTGTTTATATCTGTTGATGTAAGCTCCCTTTAGAATTTTATAAATTTTATATTTTACATTTCTGAGTTATGGGGTTTTATTCATTAAAAAAGGGGGGATTTTCCAGTTTTTGGACAATAACTCAAAAATGCTTTCAGCAGTTCTCATAAAACTTTGGTGAATTGTTTATAGCTATTAATGTAATCTCCCTATTGATTTTCATAAATTTCAAATATGACATTGAGAATAAATTGAACTTTATTTGTTTATAGTCTGACAACAGATTTACTAAGTATTGCACAACAGCACAGTGTATTGCACAACAGCAAGAAATCTTTAATTTAATATAAATTAAATTCATATAACCAATTTCAAGTTCTTTGAATACATTTATTCAGAAACCTAAAATATGTCAAATATTTAATTAAGTCTCCCAAACGAAGTTTGGGGAGACTTATTGTTTTTGCTCAGTTCTTCTTCTTCTTCTTCTTCTTCTTCTTCTTCTTCTTCTTCTTCTTCTTCTTCTTCTTCTTCTTCTTCTTCTTCTTCTTCTTCTTCTTCTTCTTCTTCTTCTTCTTCTTCTTCTTCTTCTTCTTCTTCTTCTTCTTTGTGATAGACACAATCTTCTTCTTCTTCTTCTCTTCTTCTTTGTGATAGACACAATCTTTTTAATTGAAAATGTTCTAAATGATAAGGCCCATTAAATGGAATACAGGGTTAGTCCCCAGGGGTCACCCCCACCCCCTGTCATTTAAGAAAGTTCTAATACCTTGTAAGTGGTCAAGATCCCCACCCCTAAACCATATATATTTTGGTTTGTCATGCTAAGATGGTTTGAATGATATACAGTGTTAGTCCCCAGGGGTCATCCCGACCCCCTGCCATTTGAGAAAGTTCTAATATCTTGTAAATGGTAGAGATCCCCACCCCTAAACCATATATATTCTGGTTTGTCATGATAAAGCACATCAAATGTAATACAGGGTTACTCCCCAGGGGTCACCCCACCCCCTGCCATTTAAGAAAGTTCTAATATCTTGTAAGTGGTCAAGATCCCCACCCCTAAACCATACATATTCTGGTTTGTCATGCTAAGATGGTTTGAATGATATACAGGGTTAGTCCCTAGGGGTCATCCCGACCCCCTACCATTTGAGAAAGTTCTAATATCTTGTAAATGGTCGAGATCCCCACCCCTTAACCATATATATTCTGGTTTGTCATGATAAAGCACATCAAATGAAATACAGGGTTAGTCCCAAGGGGTCACCCCCACCCCATGCCATTTAAAAAAGTTCTAATGTCTTGTAAGTGGTCAAGATCCCCACCCCTAAACCATATATATTCTGGTTTGTCATGATAAAGCACATCAAATGAAATACAGGGTTAGTCCCAAGGGGTCACCCCCACCCCCTGCCATTTAAGAAAGTTCTAATATCTTGTAAGTGGTCAAGATCCCCACCCCTAAACCATATATATTTTGGTTTGTCATGCGAAGATGGTTTGAATGATATACAGGGTTAGTCCCCAGGGGTCATCCCGACCCCCTGCCATTTGAGAAAATTCTAATATCTTGTAAATGGTCGAGATCCCCACCCCTAAACCATATACATTCTGGTTTGTCATGCCAAGATGATTTGAATGACGTATAGGGTCAGTCCCCAGGGGTTCCCCAAATCCCCAATGTTCTAATATTTTGTAAATGGTCGAGATCCCCACCCCTAAACCATATATATTCCTGTTCGTCATGTCTCGAACATTTGAATGACGTATAGGGTCAGTCCCCAGGGGTTCCCCAACCTCCAATGTTCTAGTATCTTGTAAATGGTCGAGATCCCCACCCCTAACCCATATACATTCTGGTTTGTCATGCCAAGATGATTTGAATGACGTATAGGGTCAGTCCCCAGGGGTTCCCCCACCCCCAATGTTCTAGTATCTTGTAAATGGTCGAGATCCCCACCCCTAAACCATATACATTCTGGTATGTCATGCCAAGATGATTTGAATGATATACAGGGTTAGTCCACAGGCATCACTAATGCATATAACTTTACTGGACCAAACCAATTTTCACTGGACTTCGCCCAATGTCAGGCGACCCTGGGAATTACGAATTATGGGAGCTTCGTTTGGGAGACTTCGTAACAGCATCCTGTTACAATCATTTCTTGTTACAATCCAAATTCAGACCTGTATCAAGCTTGAATATTGTGTCCATTTTTGCCCCAACTGTTCAGGGTTGGACCTCTGTGGGCGTATCCAGCTGCGCTCAGCGAAGCAGTTTATTTTGCAATATTGTCATAGTCCATATTCTTACCAGAGATTTAAAAACTTAATAGTTATTTACAGTCTAAATCATCTTTATTACATTGTCTAGGAATTTATTAATTTATAGCCGTTTTTGTATTAATATAAAACCACATAGGTTGGGTTTTTGAACTGTATTTTAGAGTATGCCTGTTAAAACATAGTCAAAGAGACACAAATAAAATACTCATGGAAAACTCTTTGTGTTTGTTCCTACTTACAAAGCAGCCAACAACATTGCTACGGCTGCTTGAGGTGTAAAGATTCTAAAATACTTAACTAGAAGCTCTAAAGAGCCTGTGTTGCTCACCTGGATCTTAGTGTATCTTCAACAATGGCAATCTCCAACATTGTAGACTTTAAAATAATTCAAACTAAAATCTCTGTCGTCATCCCTTAATTTTTACAAAAATCTTTTCCTCTGAAACTACTGGGCCAAATGGTACCAAACTTGACCACAATCATCCGTAGTGTATCTTGTTTAAAAAAAAAATCCTATGATCTTACCTACCAACAAACATGGTTGCCGAAGCTAAAAGAATATGACACAGGGTAAACATGACACATATTTTCATATTGTACCATATAATTCATTTTTAGCTCACCTGGCCTGAAAGGCCAAGTGAGCTTTTCTCATCACTCGGCGTCCATTGTCCGTCGTCTTCGTCGTCCGTTAACTTGTACAAAAATTTTTTCCTCTGAAACTACTGGGCCAAATTTAACCAAACTTAGCCACAATCATTATTGGGGTATCTAGTTTAATTAATGTGTCTGACGACCCCACCTGCCAACCAACATGGCCGCCATGGCTAAACATAGAACATAGGGTAAAATGCAGTTTTTATACGACCGCAAACAAATTTTGAGGTCGTATATTGGTATGATGTTGGCGTCGACGTCGTCGTCGTCGTCGTCGTTGCGTCCGGCGTCGTCGTCCGAATACACAATGGTTTTCGCACTCTAACTTTAGTTTAAGTGAATGGATCTCTATGAAATTTTACCATAAGGTTCAATTCCACAATAGGAAGGTGGGGATTGATTTTGGGGGTTATGGTACCAACAGTTAAGGAATTAGGGGCCAAAAAGGGGCCGAAAATAAGCATTTTTGTAACTTCCAGACATAACTTGTGTGTTAGCATATGGATCTCTTTGACATTGTACCACAAGATTCCATATCACAAAGGGTCAATGCTGGGATTGATTTTGGGGTTAATTGCCTCAAAATTTTAGGAATAAGGGGCCAAAAGGGGGCAAAAAACAAGCATTTTTCTAAGCATTTTTCTAGTTTCATGACAATAACTTGTGTGTAAGTGTATGGATCTTTCTGAAATTTTACTACAAGGTTCCATTTCACAAAGGGAAAGCTGGAATTGAGTGTTGTGGTTATTGCCCAAAACGTTTAGTAATAAGGGGCCTAAAAAGGGGTTTAAAATAAGCATTTTTTAGTTTCTAGACAATAACTTGTGTTCAAGTGTATGGATCTCTCTAAAATTGTATTACAAGGTACCATACCACAAAGGCAAGGCTGTTATTGAGCTTGGTTTGGGGGGAAAGGGGGGTGGGGGGTGATGAATCATAAGGGGGGCGGGGGTCAAAAAAGGGGTAATTTTTTTTTTTCCTTTTTTTTTTGTTTAAAATTTACATTTTAAGTTAGTTATTTTTTATCACGAAGAGAAAGTAGGAATTGAGTTTTGGGGTTAATTGCTCAAACATTTATGAATAAGGGGCCAAATATTGGTCAAAAATAAGGATTTTTTTAGTTTGCAACAAAAACTTGTGTTCAAGTGTATGGATCTCTGTGAAATTGTATTGCAATGTACCATACCACATATTGAAGGTTGTGATTGAGGTGGGGGATGATGAATCAAAAGGGGGTTGAAAAAATGTGTGGGAGGTAGGTTTTTTTTTTTCCTTTTTTTTTCTTTAAAATTTTCCTTTTAAAGATGGTTGTTTCAGATTTATATATGAAAGAAAATAATAATGATACGGTTATATATCATGAGGAATTGAAATTTAAAATTATGTATATTGGAAATTTAGGTTACATTGGAAAGTAATAATTGGCTTTGGGGGGGGGGGGGGTGGTGGTTATGGCTCTAATGTTTAAGGAATAAGGGGAAAAAAGGTTAAAAAACAAGGGTTTCCATTTTAATAGACAAATAATTGAGTAAAGAACATTATTTAAAAGCAGTGTAAGGTTGGTAATTCAAACTCATTTAAATATCTCATCTACACTGCTTTTAAATTATGTAAATTGGAAATTTGCCAATAACTTTATTGTTAATAAATGCATTGGAAATTTGCCAACAATTTTAGTGTAATAAACTTCATTGGAAATTTGCCAATATAAAATTTTGCTGATGAAGGTTTTTTGTTTACCTTTAGCCTTGACTATGAAGTCATTTTCTATTTTTATAGCCTTATGATGTAGTTGAATTATTTAATACTTTTATGATGTGTTTAAATGGGGTTTTATCATGTTTATGGTTGCAAATTTATTGTTTTAGTATAATAAACTCCATTTAAAATTTGCCAATAAAAAAAATTTTTTGTTTATTTTTAGCTATGATTATGATGTCATTTTCTATTTTACTTTTATGGTTGCAAAGAAATTTTTATTTTTAGATATTACTGTTAAATGATGCTGATTAAGGTTTTTGCTATGTTTAGCCATGACTATGATGTCATTTTCTATTTTAATATCTGTTATGATGTATTTAAATGGGCTTTTATGGTTACAAAGGAATTTTATTTTTAGATATTACTATAAAATGTTGCTGATGCTGATTAAGGATTTTGTTTATTTTTAGCCATGACTATGATGTCACTTTCTATTTTAATACCTTTATGGTGTAATTTCCATTTTTAGATATTACTGTTAAATGATGCTGATTAAGGGTTTTTTGCTATGTTTAGCCATGACTATGATGTCATTTTCTATTTTAATATCTTTATGATGTATTTAAATGAGCTTTTATGGTTACAAAGGAATTTTATTTTTAGATATTACTTTAAATGTTGCTGATTAAGGATTTTTGTTTATTTTTAGCCATGACTATGATGTCACTTTCTATTTTAATACCTTTATGATGTATTTAAATGGGCTCCCATGTATTTAGATTTTTGATTATTTATACATGTTACCAAATTGGTCCACATTGAACAAAAACGGTCCAAATTTCAACTTTATTACATTACATCAAACATTGAATTCTACATATTCTTTGATATATTGAAATTAACAAACAATTTAGTTTATGGATATTCCACCATAATAGGTAAATTAAATTTTTTCCAGTTCTTACACCACATTCATCCTGTGTCAGAAACCTATGCTGTGTCAAATATTTAATGACAATCCAAAGTCATAGCTGTATCAAGCTTGAATTTTGTGTCCATACTTGCCCCAACTGTTCAGGGTTCGACCTCTGCGGTCGTATCAAGCTGCGCCCCAGCGAAGCATTTTATTGGCTTATATCTCTGAAACTAAAGCATTTAGAGTAAATCTGACATGGGGTAAAAATGTTCATCAGGTTTAGATCTATCTGCCATTTAATTTTCAGACAAATCAGACAACCCGTTGTTGGGTTGCTGGCCGTGAATTAGTAATTTTAAGGAAATTTTGCAGTTTTTAACCGGATTTTCGAAGGAAATATCGGTTATTAAAATGGTGATATACGGCGGGCGGCTGGGCGTTTCTGGCGGCTGCCAAACAGCGTCAGCACAATAACATGAAAACGCTTTAACACATTTTTTTCAAATTTGAATATGTTTCCTGGGACTTAATGAAGGTCTCTATTAATTTTCAAGATTTTAGTATATCTCCTTTGTGAGTTATCGCCATTTTTAATATCCAAAAGTAGAATTTTTACATGTTATGATTTGTCTTATCTTCGAATAAAAATTGGAGTGACAGATTTATTTGAAAATTATCTATTTCCTAAGTGGTAATGATTATAAGCTATATCATTAGACATTTTGAAGATTATTTCATTATTAATTATGTTAGAGTACTATATATATGTTAAACAACCATAGTTCTGTTCAATTAGATATTATAAATATTTCAGCATGTGATAATGATTTATTTTCAATATTAATTAGATCTTTGAAATATTTTAGCATATGATAATCATTGGAGTGACAGATTTATTTGAAAATTTTATGTTTTCTGATAAGATCTGTAGGACTGTATATATAGTTTGAAACTTACTAGTATTACTGTATAAATGATAGGCTGTGTGTCTGTCTGTCTGTCTGTCTGTCTGTCTGTCTGTCTCTCTGTCTGTTTGTCCTTCAGTTTGGCAAATCAGTTTGCCACACTTTTATGCCTGCGCTGTAGTTGAGGGGGCATTAAGTTTTACACTTGTCTGTCTGTAAGTACGTATGCTGTATATCCCAAAATTGGTTTTCGTTCTCTATGGGACAATAAAACAAATCAAATTAAATATATGGGAAATCCATTGGGGTAACTACCACCCCCCTTCTTTTTGATAACTTGAAAACGGTCAAGATCCCAACCCTGAAACCATATATATTCTTCTATGTGACAACAAAACAAATCAAATGAAATAAAAGGCGAGTCCCCTGGGGTCACCCCCACCCCCTCCTGTTTGAGAACTTGTAAACGGTCGAGATCCCCACCTCTAAACCATATATATTCTTGTACAGGACAATAACACAAATCAAATGAAATATAGGGGAAGTCCATGGGGGTCAACCCCACCCCCCTTCTTTTTGAAAACTTGTAAACGGTCAAGATCCCCACCCCGAAACCATATATATTGTTGTATGGGACAATAAAACAAATCTAATGAAATAAAAGGCGAGTCCCCTGGGGTCACCCCACCCCATCCTGTTTAAGAACTTGTAAACAGTTGAGATCCCCACCCCTAAACCATATATATTCTTGAATGGGACAATAAAAGAAATCAAATGATATATAGGGGAAGTCCATGGGGGTCACCCCCACCCCCCTTCTTTTTGATAACATGTAAACAGTCGAGATCCACACCCCTAAACCATATATATTCTTGAATGGGACAATAAAACAAATCAAATGAAATTGAGGGGGAGTCCCCTGGGGTCAACCCCACCCCCTTCTTTTTGATAACTTGTAAACGGTCTAGATCCCCACCCCTAAACCATATATATTCTTGAATGGGACAATAAAACAAATCAAATGAAATATAGGGGA